TATCAACGATGTAGATGTTGATAATATGAAGAATGTGACATTGTGTTTTTAAATGTTAAATTTTAGACTGGGTTCAGTGTGGCAGCAACGTTAAGAGTATACACCTGATGATGGCCGATAGAGGCCGAAACATGTAGTGTAGAAAGAACAAGATCAAAGACATATAATATATATTGTTTGCACTTAGGACGGAGTTTGTATCATTTAATTTATCCTACCCGTCTACATCTACAGAAGATATAAAATATTCCCCTTCAGTCACAAGAAAATTAACAAAATGTTTTTTTCCAGCTGCAGCTACGTTTCCCAAAGCCACCTACATTAAACCTTACTCGCCTGTGAAAACTGTGAACAAATTCATAATTTCAGGAAATATGAGTGTGTATAAGTGATGAGTTAACCTATTTGCAACAGATAAGAATACATCCATACAGCTTCTAAATTTTGGCTTCAGTAGAAACAAACAATTTGCATCTTTGTCAGTATCTTCAGACATGTCCTATCTGAGACAGCATTTGCTAGAAAACAGGAAAACCAGGGGAAACCTAAGAAAGACCAATGTTTGCCAGACACAAGAAATTTAAACCTCCAAAGTATTACTCAACACATCGACATATATGAGCCACCACAGGAATTCCAGCAATGTATGATTAAATAGACATTACAAGAGCCTTACTTGATCTCATTTCATACATTATTCTGCATTACATCAGACAAGATATAAGTGCCTTTACTTCCATACATCAATGGCTTCCTGAATCATATACAAGGGTTGGAACTTTAATAGTGGCAACTATTTATTTACAACTGATACAAAATAGATGCATGTTTCAGAGTTTTACTGTCCTTCAATGTAGTCACCAGCAATGTGTACAACCTGTTGCCAGCGATGTGGAAGTCGTAGGATACCTTTAGCAGTGCCTGTTGTGTTCATAGTTCAAATGGAGCGGTCTACTGTCTGAAGAATCTCTGGAACAGTTCTGAAGTGAATGCCATGAACTGGTTCCTTCATCTTTGGAATCAAGACGAAGTGACAAGGGTTTTAGTCTGGGGAGTATGGTGGATGGTACAGCATTTCCCAGCCCCATCTATTGAACAAATCAGCCACAGCTTGCGCTGCATGCGGCCGAGGACTGTTCTGCAAAATGATGGGGGGTTCTGCAGACAGTGTCGCGGCTTCTTTCTCAAAGCTGGTTGCAGGTTGTGTTCCAAAAATGACGCCACATTTTGGCATCCCTCGTTGAAGGCTTTTACCCACCTTGACACTGTTCTGTAAGGCAATGCAGATTCCCTGCAAGCCTCTTGAAGACCTTGATGAAACTGTAGTGCTGTACAGCCTCTGGCACATTCAATCTTTATCCAACTCCTTTGTTCCTGTTTCGAAAACATTGTGACAACACTACATTAGACCGCCAGCTAACACGAAGCTCTGTTCTTCTCGTCACTGTGCATGCGCGTGGTGTGGGAAAGGAGAGTCCATTTGCTCTGAGGTAAGGTAGGTATGTAATTAATGTGTGGTATAAGCAACATTATTTAGTTCCATTGTATGGCGTCTCTACAGCAGTGTTGCCACTGTTAAAGTTCCAAACCTCATACGTTTCACTGAAAATGATATTTTATGATCAAGTATATTTTAGTTCACCTATGTAAAATATTTCTTCACACTGGACACCCCTGAATATGGTCATATGAGGCTGAAACATGCCGGGCTTCATTCATTCAGTTGTCATTGCTGATACATTTTTTACGGTAGACTCAATGCAAGAATATCATCAACTATATCCAGTTTTAAATTAATAAATATTAATCATATATTATGCAATAATATCATATTTTAAATAAAATGCACATACTTGATATTCTTGCATTATTCTATCATAAAAATGTATCAGCAATCATGACTTTCATCACAATACTAAACCTTTGGCTTCCACAAATTGCTGGGAATTTGACCAACCAAATATTAGCTTATCAAATAGGGCTCAGGTTTATGGAGTGTGGAATAAGTGTATTTATACTGTTTAATATTCATTATCCAAGTAATGTTTCAGGTAAACTTACACATGTTAACAGACTACACATATGCCATGTCAGAGCTCAGGGCTGTCATCCCAAAGCCTCAGGTTTGATTTGGAGTGACTTCATGTGAGACTTGTGGTGGAAGAAGTGATACTGAAGCAGATTTTTCTCCAAGTTTCTTCTGTTTCCCCCGCTAATCATCAATCCACCTTTGCTCCATCCTTGTCTGCCATCTCCACTTGAGGTGTGTGATAGCTTTGACCAGGCAGCACAGTACCACATGCTTGGTTTTATCTCTGACTTGGAACTTAGGTGTTAACAAAGTAAGAAAATAACGTTCATAAAGTACAAATAAAAAAGGTTTCTGTTACCCTAGCTTTGTAACTGCTATAAAGATCTGGATACCAAGAGAGAACCCAATCGTCAGCATCATAACATGTGATTTTGGTAACAATGCCATCATTCCTGGAAATAAACAGACTTTGTGGTTAGATTAATTCACCAGCCACATCATTCCTGTCGCATGATTTCCTTACTAAGAACAGGTAAGCCTAAGGTGTTTATCCCTGATCCTCCAAAAGGTCTCCCTCACTAACATTTTATACGCATTCCTCCTTATACAATCCCAGCTACATGCCCAGCCCACTATAGACTGTTCACCCTCCCAATGAAACACTTTATAAAACATAAGAATATTATGATCTATACATATCTACAATATTTGTTTAGATCCATGAAAATGTTCTGCCTGTAACAAATAAACCTCAAGCTTAATATGAAACATACAACCTTTGTCAATAAAGTTCCGTGACTGAGTCTGTGAAAAATAAAAAATTCAACTTATTAACTAATGGTTCCTGTCCCCTTCAGTCAATACAATGATGCCAGTGTTTTGGCCAGTCCTGGAAGCAGCTGGCGAATGGCTCTTTCATAATGGCTGTGAGCTCCATTGCCTCAGCTGCTTGAATAGCCTCTATATTCTCATGTCACCGTCCTTTTAGCGTTTTTTTTTTTATTCATGGAAACGAAAAAAAAATGCATGGCCCTCTTGGCACATGTAAATATAAGATGAAGTTTCATCTAACAAGTACACATAATATTCTGTGGAGTTCTGAACAGATGACTTTGATCAACCAAACTCAACTAAACTGAACCCAATCTCTACAGCTTCAAAATGTCTCTCTAAATCCTCACTGCTCTCTATTCCACCAGTGAATTTAATGCACGAATCTGCAGATAAGTCCACTGAAAACACACTCCTAGCTCATGCACTAGTGAATCTGCGGCTAAGCTCTAACCCAGTCTCAGCAACTCCCTGGCTTCAGTCACTGACCCCAAAAGTCAAAGTCAAAGTCACATTGCAACTGACAGTCAGTAAGTCTTGGTGTCGAGCCCCATATGGGGCTAATAACCAGACATTTATTACTGTTTGACAGTCACGGTCTTGTTTTTGTGGGGCGCCCTCTCTGATGAGAGGATGGGTCTGTCTTTTGTACATGCTGCTGACCCTTGCCAGTGCAGTCTTTCTCAGGTCCGAGTCCCTTGGGACTCTTTAACGTTGCATATAGATGGCAAAAGAAGCAGAACATAAAGTCAGATATACAAATACAGTTACACATAAATGGAAGTGGTGTAAATTGTGTGTACAGTCACCCAGAAAGTAAGGCTCTCACAAGTTTCATTAATTCTTACACAACCAATGTCTCTCCTCAGGTATAATGTTACAATATTCATGTCTATCTAGACTGCTTTCTGGTCCAACCCCCTGCAGCCTCAACATGATGCTACCCGATGGCTCCACTGCAGGCTGCCTTTCTTTCTTTCTTTCTTTCTTTCTTTCTTTCTTTCTTTCTTTCTTTCTTCGTCTTCTNGAAGGCAGAAGAAAACTTGCTTACAGACTTACATTTAAGTTGTGTAAAACAAATTTTTACCAACTGCCCTACAGTATTCAGACAAGAATAATATTTTTAAATACTTTCAGTTGTATTGTTAATTCAGGTCTGAAAGTTTGTGATGATGGTATATTAATACAATTACTGTGTTTCTGGGCAATATACATTGTCTTGTTTTTATTTAAAAAACACAAAATTTTGGAGACAGGATTCTGTCTCTGTCTTCAGGTGGAACCTGCTCAGTTGGGCACAATTGATAGGGGTAGTTCCTAGTGATGGAGATGGAATCCAGTCTCCGAGATGTTGTTTTAAATAAAAACAGGATAATGGATAATGTTCAGATACACATTAACTGTATGTACTGTTAATATTTAGTAATTTGCTTCTTTTCTTAAATTCTTGGGGGGGAACAGATGTCTGGTCCCCGCATCAGTGCCCATGGCCTCCACCATGAAGATTTAGGAAGTAGGTTTCTCCAAATCAGTGGTCCCTATCTACTAAACTAGACAGCGTAACATTCCAGATGACAGTTATCTTTATTATGAGACTGTGTATTCTTTGGATTAACTTCTGAAGCATCAGTGACACAACAAAAATGTAGATATGATACTAATCCAAAAGTCTGTGAAAGTATTCCTAATTCTGAATCATAAGAAAATAATCACTGTAATGAATCACAAGTTTTGTGGACTACAATGACCATTTAATTAAATTGTGAAATGATAAATCCACACTTGCTAAGATCTAAGAAATGGCAAGAAACCTTACGAATCAAAGGTTTAATGTGACTGTGTTGGATATGAGGTTCTCATGATGGTGAGTATGAAAAGTGGTATTCTGGACTATGACTTACCAGACTACATGGCATCACGAACTAGAAGATAGTACCCTTCATTAATGTGGCTTTTATATACATGAACATCAGAGGTAAACAGTCATTACTCCAACTTATAAGCTTCTCCAGAAACGTCTGAAGTGAGATCCTTAGGATGACCAGTGGTAACGCAGCAACACCTTGTCAATTAAATCAACCATTTACAATGCAGAAAGTTAGCTTAAACTGCCTTTTGAAATAATGGTATAGAAATGAGATAACAGTTTTACCTTCAGGACATGACTCTTCTGCTCTGAAGGAGACAGCAAGGTCCTTTCAAATGCTGCAATGTGTCTACAAGTCAACACACCACATGTCTACAATCTACCAACATATCATATTCCGGAAGACTATAAATATTCATATTCATTGCTGTAAGAATGTCAAATCTTACAATGGTATAAAATGATAACTCCTGTCTCACAGCTAGTAACTTACAGTGCTATAATATCCAACTGTTTACCTCTGTGTATACACATGAAGCAAATATTTACAATACAAAGTCTTTGAGAATCTTAGGTTGTAAAATGAGTGCAAAAAAAAAAGCATATGAATTATGTAAGAACATTCGACACTTCATAGAATTGCACCATTTAAAATTATAAAGCTTACTGTGCACTGAACTACAAAATTACATGGCACCTGAAGTTCAGCATACATGCACATAAATTCTGACATTCACTGTGCTATTTACAGAAAAGGTTATATATCATTTGAGCCAATCATGAAACGTTTTAGACTAGATATAATTCCATTTGATCCATAGCACCCAGCACATCTTTCCTCTGACTACGTATGGGGCATGTCTTGAACCTCCATCCAGTTTATGCAGATATGTGGAAAATTATTGCAAATCTTTTGGCATTTCAGTACAACAAACAATATGACCTCTCTGAATCCTTCCACACTTCAGGTAGCCTGCCTTTGAAAACTGTCATAGCAATTCATACTAGTGATTGATATTGTTCATTACTGAAGAGTACTTTCATTGGTCACCTGCAGCCTCAAAAAGTTACTAAACCATACATCACAACATCACAATATCACACACAGGTTGCAGCAGCAGTCACTTCAAGCAATCCTCACATAACACAGACTATGGTCCACAGCATAAAAGCATATATGCACACTTCTGGATGTGAACAGGTTATAACAAATTTTAACCCTTTAGAGCATGCTCGTTACTATATATTTCACTTGCTTTAACATTCAGAAACACTACACTTTGCTCATTGAGTGTGTATATGGGTTTCATATGATTTTCAGAATAAAAATTATTTTTCCATTGGTCTTTGTAATGGACACATAGAGTGTTCTCAGTTGGGAAGGAAATTTGTTAAAAAAAAAAATTAGATGAACTTTATGTTTCAATTCAATAAAATTAAGTTCAGCATTTACAGCCAACTATATCGACATTTAAAAAAATATCCTTGAGTAGCAGAGAAAAGCAACTAGGCATTTTGACCCATATAAGAGTAAATCATTTTAACCTTTATTACATGGAGTGTCCTTTCTGAGCACAAGAGACTTCTTCAGATACTGCCAAAACAATATTACCCCACACTGAGCACCACTTCTTATGAGGTGCAGGTTTGCCTTTCTGTGACAGAAATCAATATAAACTCTCAAGATAAAATGTGTAACTGTTACAAAAAATATCTGTGGTACACAGCTCTATATGTATTGTAGGGGTACATACATACTGTGTACAGGTTTTCATCAGTCTCAGACAACGATGACAAAGATCTGGAAGTTATACAGTTAAGGAGACATTTTAGAATCAAAACTGATCTAGAGCATATTGATACAGATCTGGCTAATGAGGAGAACTGTTTTAATTCACATTCTGTCTATTCAAAATGGGTGAATGAAATTATATACATGGTATTGAAAATTTGGCCCAAAGTTATAGCATAACTTCTATAGTCAAAATATATCTACTGCAGACACAGTGAAGCATACTGACTTTCATTCATTGTCTATTCACAGCCATCAAAATGTGACAATAAGCCAGAGAAGTAAAATTCATGGTTCCGGGTGCAGTGTGTTAACATTTGCAAAATATATCCTGTAGTAAGAAATGATATGCCCATCTGCATTTTATAAAAAGAAATTCAATGGATCGACCATCTTGTAACTGTGCTATTCATATGGATCAATACAAATATGGCTCCAGTCTCCTTAATTACCATATCACACAATTACAGCTGACATACATTTCATTTTATTTTTTTCTTTGACAGTGAACTGAGCTAATAAGGCAGGTTTTGTTAGGTCTGCCATGATTACACTGACTGATACTCTGAAGCTGGTTTTCTTTTGCATGTAATTAATAAATGCAAAGAAAGATGGCACTGTCTTGGAAAATGTTTTCTCAAATCTCAAATAAAGGAATCCTTGTAAGTGTTGAAAACTCAACAACACTTATGCACTCTGTAATCCACTGAAATGTATCCCACTTACAGAAACAATTCAAATCAACTAGCAAAAGACATACAGTTCACACTAAGAAGTAAATGTAATTGATTTCTTTCAATGAAAAGTTGTAGTTTCTCAGTTTCTGAAAATCTCTTCTTGAACATGTAATATTAAATTCAACATCTGCAGATTATTATATGTTAATATACATGATTAAAAAAGTATTTCTAAAACAAGTCTACTTCATAAACCATCATATGCTAAAAGTACAATCGCTATAGTTTGGCCGCTGAAAGAAGTGCCACAGGATCGACCCCCTCCACACCTCTGACAAGCTGTTATGCTTCCCCTCCAGCATACTCCCTTATATTTCCTTTCAGTTATTTAGCTATTCTGATCACACAGTGTTGGTAGACATAAACGTCACTAGCGGCAAGTGTTCTTTTTCCTGGCTGACATAAATTGAAGAGTAACAGCAGGCAGAAAGAAAGGGAAGTCTTGAGGGCTCTCATCCCCACAATTCATGGGACTTCTTTCCATGGCCTCATTATAGTGTGATTACAGTGTATGTTTTCCTTTTAAAATCTAGGTTCTTTTCTATGTTTTTCTTAAACACAGTTAATGAAATTTTCCATTAGATATGACAAATATGGTATTATTGAAAAGAAAATCAAATTTTGAATAATTTAAATTCGGTTTGTAACTTCAGAAATTATATAGTTATACATCACTGATAGGCCATTTTTCTGTTTTTCTGTTTGTGTCATGTCTAATTGAATCGTTGACTTATACAGAATTATTTCCACAAAGTTACATGACTGATCAATGGTTTGCTATGATGTGTCACAAAAGCTCATAGTAAAGGGGCCTCACACTTAACATTGGAATCCCAGTACAGTGTAAAATTCAGCGCATCAATGAATCATCATCATCATCATCATCATCATCATCATCATCATCAGATTGGCCCATCATCACTGTTACGTCACTCACACTGCAGTAGTGTATACCAAACTGGTGCACAATGAGCATCATTGAATTCAAAGAGAACGATCTTCTGGGATGTAGCACAGTGTAGAATACACGAAGCAGGATATCAGTGAGAAAGCAGGTTGCAAGCCGAGTAATCGGTTGGCCGGAAATCTTGGGTTATAGACAAAGCTGGAGGGGAGTGTAAGAGTGGACCTCAGTTCCCAATGGCTCATCATGGGACAGAATGAAACTGCTGGGCCACCATGTGAACCAACATGAGACAAGAACACAAGTTTATGGTGCCCCTGAAAAGGGGCGGTTTTACTGGCCCAGGAAAACAATGGGAAAATGGTGTGTTGGGTGGGGAACCAAACTCTCTCCATTACACATAGGTTCACTTTCAAAGGACTATATGGTGCTACATCTAAGGAGACGGTTCTCTTCATAACCACTGCTGTGAGAATTTTAAATCGTACATAAGTGATCTTCTTTGCATTCAGATTTCTGGTTGTATTCTTACTGCCATTAAGTTGTGCCTGCATGACACATACATCACTGTAATCAGCTGATTAGGCATATTCTCTTCTAAAGTAAAGTAAAGGTATCCCTGTACCAGGCTGTGGATGCCCATAGGGTTGTGAGATGTTGAGGTTCCCACAATTTCTAGACAATCGGTTCACAGATGGCAGCAAGGTTGTCAGCCCTACACACTGGCTGCCCTTTACTCCCAAGAATATTTCAAGAATATTCCTGGTACTCATCTCTGTTAGAGGCTGAGTCAACCCCCGGGCCATAGTGCGGATGAAAAAAATCCAGTTACCTCATCAGGACTTGAACCTGTGACATTCCGGCTTGTAGCATAGTGCCTCAACCAACTACGCTACTGTGTGCCCCCCATTATCTTATAAAAGAATTTAAATTTATGTATTTTCCATTAACTTTATCAAATGCTTTTCTATAGTCCATAAAGGTCAGATATATTTCAATATTAAAATCCCTACTCCTAGATGATTATAGTTAATAAAGACTATGAGTGTTTTCTACTCGATCATCTGCTCATAATTTGTACTTTCTCCACAAGCCTTGTAGCAAAAGTGTGGAATACCATGCCATTCATCATGACATAAAATGCACTAATTTTTTAAAGACAGTTTGGCTGACAGTGATGTTTCAAGGAGAAGGGGTTTGAAGAATTAGTTAACAAAAGTACAATATTTATATCATTCCTGCATGTTTTACTGCTAGAAGAACTGATTAACTAATAAAGATTTACTTATTCCTGATCATATGGGTCTGAAACAGGGCACAGCAATGCAGACTGGCACACTGTGCCAGGGACCTAACTGATTATAACACAACAAGGCCTGAAGCCTGATCTGGCATCTGTAGCTCATATTCACATGAAAACAAGCAACATTGCAGCTATATTTAACCTACATTGCTTGTGCTTGAAGAAAGTTTTGCAGTATGTGTGCAATCCCGGCTGGCCTACCATCACATTTTTCAAATACAAATATCATTAACCCTCCCCCACCCCAAATTAAAATCCTGCTGCCTGCACCATAGCAACAACACATTTAAATCACAAAACATTACAAACATTAAAAATGGATAACGGACTTCACTGAAACATTACACTGTTCATAGGACAATGTCAATTAGGGTGACATGACAGTCTTCCATCAAGTTCAGATATTCTGGCTTCCTACCAGTCAGCTGTATACAAAGATACTCACTTTTGCTTGTCTCAAAATGCCAAGTGCTGTATAATAAATCAGATTCGAATATAGATAGCTTAAACAAACATATGATTACAAAAGTCTAATCACATTTCTCTAAACATTTGCATTGCTAGTTGCTATGATACAAAACACTCAACTTCGTATCCTTACACGTTACCAGATCCTTCACTATCAACTTTAATAGCACAGCCAAGTATACTTATCATTTCCGGAGATAACTGGTCTTAACAAATAGCGGTTATCTCCTCCAGATAAAGTGAAGTCTCAGGAAGCCAAACTCAACAATTTGACAGAACCCAGTGATCTCTCTGTAATCACTCACTTCAATGACTGAGCCCTCATGGCATAACCGAAGCGCACAAATATTTTTAACAAAGATGGGATTTGAACCTGTGACAATGCAATCCAAGGCTTTAGCATCCATCATCTTAACATTTTCATACCTCCTATATACTGAATGGGTTGGTGTAATGAAAATGCTCTACACTTGCATTCAGGATACCTCAGTTTGAATCTTGGCTGGGACAACATCTCAGTTTATCTATGACCATTTCCTTCCAAATCTTTTGTATTGTAGCATCCTGTTGCATATCACTTATTTATTCCTGTTAGTTACTAGCTGTCTCACATGCAACTTGTTTTCCAAAACCTTTAGAAGTTCCAAACTTTAAAATCACTTCTACATCACTGGCATAGGCACAGTATGTGTTTCGACCAACACTGGTCACCTTCAGGTGTCTCTAAAATTGCTAATGAAACTACTGTGCTTCTGTGTGCATGTTATACAGAAATGGGTGGCTAGACAAGATCATATCCCAAAAACTGAACATATGGATGGAAGCACAGCACTTTCAGAGATACCTGAAGATGACTGATGTTGGTTGAAACATGTAGTGATGTAGAAAAGATTTTAAAGTTTAAAACTTTTGAAGGCTTTAAAAAGCAAGTTGCATGTAAGACAGCTAGTAACTATCAGGAATAAAAAACTAACATCATACAGTCGAGATGCTAACAGCATCATAATATAACTGCCCCCAGAAAGCTCTTTATACTTCATACGGGACAAGCAGAACATACTAATATTATACATTTATTTAGCGATGCCATCAAGAAATCAGACTACATACTATCATATTACTGAATGATCATTGGCAATGGAATGGAAAGTAAGCAGAAAGAATTGGTCATGGTATAATTTTAAGGTACTATGCCGACACTTATCTGGAGTGACTGAGAACAACTGTGAAAAATCAGAGTCAGAGTAGGCCAGCATCTCAGCTGAGATTCAAACTGAGCATGTAGAATGCACATCAGAAATGCTGCTACTTGAGCCAGTTTGCTTGGTGTACCCTGCATTCATAAGTTCATGTACTCATTGTACTAAACTAAAGCGTGGCTGTGTGCAAGAAAATCAAGTACTGACTAGTAGTAAGATCGATGGTATTAGGGCTGTTGACACAACAATGAAAATGGTTGGTTATGATTGTAATAAAATTGATCAAAATATATACTGTAGTGTGTAGAGACATTGTTATGTGATGACCGTGAGACAGGCGAATATACCAGAGATGTTTCTAGGCAACGGCTTGGTAAACACACTCCCACAGCAACAAATCGATGCCTAACAGTAGAGGTACTCTCAGAAACAGGGTGTTTTCTGTGATGTGCTGTGACCATTGCTACACAAAGGTGCAGTAAACATGCCTCTACAACAATAGAAGAGCTGTTTCTTCTGCGTGGTCCGTGCTGAGGCGTTACCTTGACGACAACTAGGGTGACCCACTTAGTTGTTAGAGTTCTGTACAGGAGGCTGTGGAGAGAGGACCTGAGCACAGAAAGTTGAAGGATCTTCATTGTTAGAAGCCATTGCCAGGGAACAGCCAGTGAAGACACAGCAGACTGGAAAAATGCTTAGCAGGTGCTGTGATTTCTGAATTGTGGAGATTAACAATAGCACTGTAATTACTTGTAGTTCCGAGTCATGTGTATAAGTGGTCAATAAATCCAGTCTCCAATTCAAACCCCTTCTATAGTCACATGCTAAGTCATGATAATATGATATATCAATCAATTCTGTCTTGAACTGACTGATATATTGTATGTATCGATTTTATTAAAATCCAAACCATTCTATTTTGTTCCTGTGTTGATGGCCCTAATGCCATCGACACTATACATAACAGGATCCAAAAACCAAAATAGATGTAAGATCTTGTTGTATGATGAAAGCAGTGCAAACATAATGGAAATGTTCACCCCATTCTGCCATTTTGGTATCATATGAACACAATAATTTAATATTCTGGTGCTGTCATGCAAACTGAACACAAAAAAGTCCCATAAAGAAATGTATGACAAACATAGAACTGCAGTAGTAACTGTTATTTTCTTATTCTGATTTAATTCTGTGTGGCATTTTATTAGAAGGTAAAAAAAGTCCCTGTGCTTCAGTACACATCACACCACAAAGACATACAGTGGAACCTCGCTTAACGAGCATAATTTGTTCCAGAATCTTACCCGTAATGCGAAACACTCATTAAGCGAAACAATTTTTTCCCATATAAATTAATTTAAAATACGATAATGCGTTCCATGCTGAAAAAAAATACTCAAAAAATTTTATGTATAACGTTTAATCAAAGAAAATTATATATACATTGTTAAGGAGCGTGAATCATCTTCATGTTTTCTTCTATGCGGAATGAACCAACATGGAATGCGAATTTAGTTTGCAGAAAACAAAAACAAAAACAAACAAAAAAAATCGAAATAATTCGTTTATTTTTTATGATACATATCTAATTCTTTTTTACTAGAAAGCTGTCTAGAGACATTTGTTTTTGTCGACGCTTCAAAATTTGGTGAAAATGTGACACAGCATTATCATTAAATAAATTTGTAGCGCGCACAGCCACTGCCTTATTAGGGTGATGCTTCTCAATGTACAATGCAACAGTTTCCCATGCTTTCAGCATTTCTCTTATTGCGCCAGAAGATTGTTGCTTTGCTGTTACCTCCTCCTCCTTCTTGAGGATAGTGCAAATCGTTGATGTGGACTGATTGTATGTGCGTGCTAGATAAGCCACGCTCACGCCTTGTTCTCGCTTTTCAATGATTTTACGTTTCATTTCTACGGTTATTTTTATTCTCTTATGGCTGTCTTTTTGCGGCTTTTTCTTTGGGGACATTTTTGCAAGGGTTATTAAACTTTGCACAAAAAATCACAAATAATATGTCTGAACACAAGTTTGGAAAAATGTGTGATCACAAGCAACACTAAGATGCTAGCGGAACGAGTGATAAACACAGACTGATGTAGCAAGCGCACAATCCGGGACTTCCCCTCTCATCACTCGTTATGCGAAATGTTGCTTCTTAAGTGAGTCATTTTTTTTACAATTTGTTTTGCTTGTTATGCAAATTACTCGTTATGAGAGGTGCTCGTTAAGCGAGGTTCCACTGTATTTGGGAACAGAGGTAAAACTCCATGCATTCTTAACCTCAACACTAGAGGTAAGTGGTCAGCTTCTCCCTTGGGAGAGGTTGGGAGGGTCCCACAGCTGATCTGGACACAGCGGAGAAGAAAAAATCTCTGTTCCAATTGGAACGAAATCCCCAGTCCTCCACCAAAAAGCTTAGTCACTGTATACTGACTGAGCTATGCCAGCTCTCTTCATTGGGATGTACCCCCAACAATGCACACACATATATTGTGGCATGTAGACCCGCTGCTAGGGAACGAATGACATACATGCTTCTGTAGACATGGATTCTTGGAAACCAACATATTGCTGTGGGATCAACAGACATTTCCATGGATACGAGTGATCAACAAACATTTCCTTGGATACTGATATGCTGTATAAGAAGCCATTCAGATGAGAATCAAGTCAGTCGTAGTTGAGATCAGAATAGAGACCAGATTGGAGCGAGTCATAGGCCAGTCAGAATGGAGCAAGTCATAGGCAGTCATTTATTGTGAGTTACTGTGAGTTATTGTGATTAAAAGTGATTGTAAAATGTATTAGTAAATCCAGTCATCCACTCCAAACCTATTATTATTAGTCACGCCCTGAAAATGTGACAATATTGTGGCATGTCCGCTGAAAGCCGGGATAGCAGAATCAGAAGGTCTGTTACTAGGTTATGGCACAGTAAATACCATGTCAGTGTAGCAACAGTTATGCACACAACAGAGGAATTGTGGGAAGTGGTGTTCGCTGATGGGTCTGTGCAGATGCTACATCTGGAGAAATGGAACACAGCTACTACAAATTCATGAGAATGAACATGCTTGCAGTACAGAACAAGACAGAAAATATAATGTGTTCAGCTATCAAGGAAACTGGGGGAGCGGCGTGGGTCGGATACAACATTTCTCACAGATTGCTGCTATAACTGCCGATAGTGGAATGAGTCATCAGCGCTGATAAACGTGCACACGCTCACTAGCGAGAGTGTAGTCGTGTCGCTCATTCCCTCACATCAGTTTCTGTACATTCACACATTTATAGAAATACTGTAAAAATATAACAAACTTACCATGCTTCATAACAGGTGTTGGAAGTGACCCCCTTCTGCTTGCAAACATGTCTCGCATCGCATAAATAAATAACTGTGTGCAAGTGCCAATCCAGCAAAGTGATGGGTTGTTGCCACTGTATATGCTGACAAGATATTCTGTCATTCAAAATGCAGAAAAGCTTTGGGTGTAACTGGCTGAGATGCAGAAGAGTCAAAACATACTCTAAATGTTTTACCCCTCTCCTCTTCCACTTCCATTTTGAAAACAGTTAAGTTCAAAATCTAGTTCTGAGGAAAAATGGCTGGCCCAGAATGTAAAACTCAAGTACATGAGTATGGCAGTGAATGCATTACAACCCATTCTAACACTTCTCCCCATTTACACTCACATCTAGAAGTGGTATCCTGTCTTCACATATCCCAACTAAAATTTTGAATGCATTTCTCTTCTCTCTTTCGTCCCGTCTTCTGTAACTAAGCATGAGATGTAAGTAATAGCAGAAATGGAGTGAACGGTTTGTTCTATTTACAAGCATGAGATTTAGGTGAGATGAAAGAGCATTTTGATAAGTTACCTACGACGCTGATTTAGGAGGGCTGTCTTTGGCTTGTGATGGCTTGGCTTTGGCCTCTTCAGTCTTCTTTTCTTTTGCTGATATACCAGTCGCATTAGCTTCTGCTGTGTAACTGACCCCACCTGCTGTAGGCTTTGTTGGCAGGACTGGCGAATGTAAAGCTTCAACGTTGTGAGAAATTCCATATGGCCGCAGGTGATAGATGAGATACTCAAGTACGTGCATTTGACTTGGAGACACGTAATGGAATGATATGGCAGTATCTGAACAGCACCCCATGCCCTGAAAAAACAGGTACATATTTGTTTATCTATTTATTTACCTACAGTCTAGTTCATGATGATACCATCAGTAACTCAGGCCATGTAGAGAATGGCTGGATAATCAGTCTTCATCTTCATCTTCATCTCCTTCATCTTCTTACTCCTTCTCCCCTTCTTCCACCATGGATTAGGTTATGCCTATTTTCACATTTCCATCCATGAATAGTTAACAAACAATCAATTTGAAAGGATTTGGAAAGAAATGCTACAGGCTAATTTGAGGGACTATCCCAGCATTTGTATCAGGGGACTGAGGAAAACCACATAAAGGTTAAGTCAGGATGAAGTCCTAGCTGAGATGTAAACTGGGCCTCTTCCACACACATTTCAAAAGTGATACTGCACCAGCTAACTTAATCAGTAAAATTATCTCAAAATGTGTCAGGATTCTGTACGTAAATCTAAGGATCCTTGTGAATCACAATTAAAAATGAAACACAGGATGTGGAACCATACTGTCAGGATTTATCTGTAAACCAGTAAAGTCTGCAAAACAGAACAAGGGTCTGCCTGCCTGTCATGACATCGTGGGGCACTTGCAGACAGAATTACAGCCTGAAGCTGAACACACATAATTTCATGAAACTAACCCCCCCCCCTCAAACAACTATAGAAGTGGGAGGAGTTCAAATTCTGAAGTAACTCGTTGGACATTTTATAAATGTGAATCTGCTAAACGATATGTCAGAGAGAAAAAAAATTAAAACGCAATAGTACAAATATACGTTCATAAATGTTTACAGAAAATGTATGCGAACTGACAAATCTCCATTAGTCACTGGGTACTTTGAAATAGGAACATGCAAAACGTATCTTCTAAATCCTGAATGAGAAACAAATTATTTAAATAAGAAATGCTAGCACCTGTTTCTTGAATGGGATCATATAATGGTCTCCATTAGGTTCATGGTAAATAAATGAATAACAAATGCGGTACATATGTCACGAGAATCCCAGAAGGCAGCTAATGCACCAACTATCAACTGAGAAACAGTTACACACTCTAAATATATTCCTTACTATCTGACTTGCATTGGATATGGTAGCCCAGATAAAGCATCGGTAAATGACCAGACCCAGATACAGGAATACATTTCCATGCTTAAATGTAATTATAAAAAGATTTGAAGCTTTCGTGGCAGCTAAGGTTGATAAAATCTTCTTGGACTACCAGTTGTGTCGGTTGGTTGACGGTGACAGGAATGGCCCCCGAAACTTTGGTAACTTTTAACCAAATGACACGGCTAATAGACCAAGAAGATTTTGTCAAATTATAACAATATTCTGTTCTCAGATCTGCCCTGCAACTAGCACATGAAGGTACCTTTTTTGAGGGGAGGAAGGTTATTTTACAATGCTTTCAATAACTAGACTGTAGTGTCAAATGGCAGGATAACTATGGCCTAATCAAGGTATTACTCTAACATTTGCCTGGAAGGATGGCAGAAAACCATGAAAACCTGTCATGATGGTCACTGACCTGGATAACATTCAAATCTAGCAGGGCCTGAACACAAATCTAGATCACTACCATTACACCAAAATGCTCAGTGATGAAGGTACTGTCATGGCATCCCCAAAAGGAAATGAACAAGCATCCAACACAGAAAGACATATTGTTGCCTGAGTACTGGAATGTGGTATGTACACCAACATCAAATTTCAAGAAACTGGGTGTGAAGTTAGGGAATAAACTGCAGCTTAAATGTGATTTACAACAAAACACATTCAGAAACCTAAACATGCAAGCAAGGTAAACCCACAGAAGCATGTGGAGATGGTGGAACACAATACGGAGGACGAGAAAAGTGCATTATCTCATTTTTCCACAAAAGTGGGGGGGGGGGGAACCACTCCAATACTCAGGCAATGATAAACCAGTACCTTAAGGAGTACTTACCAATTCTGATGGATAATAAATAAATTTCCAGTACCAGAAATTTGGGTCTATATGATTAGGGATCAGGTGATGCTCTGGCACAAAAGGAAAGAATCTCCCCCGACCTAAAGCGTCACGAGTGTCCATAGCCTTTACCCCCACATTCTCCAAACACTTTCCTGCAATAAGAACAACATCAAACCTTTAATCCACTAGCTATGGCTTACAGAACACTTTCCTGTACGGTTCAGATGGTCTGAGGACCAGCTAACTATTTCGTCTTCTCAGTTAGCACATAATTCTGGTGGTGATGTTAAGTTTCTGGCTAAATCTCAGTGTATCTCAGCAGCACATGTTTGCAATATTAGTATCCAAGGTTCAACATGGTGGCAGTGAAATGTTTCTTCATTACTTACTTGCTTGCTTACTTACTTACTTACTTACGGAGCTGAGCCCTTCATAGGGAAAAGCCAAATCTGCAGCTACTCAAGAATTTCCCAGCATATTATGGAACCCAAAGTTTCATTACCGTGTTCACAAGAGCCCTCCACTGGTCCCTATCCTGAGCCAGATCAATCCAATCCATACCATCCCATCCTATATATCTAAGATCCATTTTAATATTGTCCACCCACCTACGCCTTGGTCTTCCCAGTGGTTTCTTTCCTTCTGGCTTTCCCACCAATATCCTATATGCATTCCTTTCACCCCATTCGTGCTACATGCCCTACCCACCTCATCCTCCTTGACTTGATCATTCTAAATGTTTTCTCATTAAATGCTAATATTTCCCAAATAAGTCCCAGCCCCATTACATTCTTCTGTGCCTGAAAACCACAACCCCAGTGGGTAACTCATAAGCATTAACACAATGGGCACAGATTCCAGTCTCTAGCTACAGTCTCTACTATTTCACCCTCACACATTATAGCTCTTTAGCCACACTCTGGTATCATGGTTTTACTGAACATTCACACTACGAAAATAAAAGTTCTCAAGAGACAACTTCGTAGAATAAGCATAATAGCAGTCTACATGTAATTTTCTTGGCAAAAGTCAGCATGGTAATACTGACAATACAGAAACACTGCTGCCTATCACTGCCATTTTCTGGGCCGAACTAACTCAGATTAGTTCTGAATTTTGATCTTCACTGAAACAACAAGTTGACAAATACTGCCCTGCTTAGACTAATTACACATAGGGTGGCACAAAAGCAGCACCATAATATAACTCTAGCATTATATTATTGTAAAGCATTCACAGAACTGTTCAAACTGGTGACCACCATGGTGGATACAGTTCACATCTTTCACAGGCACTCTGGTAAAGGTAACGATGCTGCTTTGCAACCCCAGAAACTTGCAACCTGACTTGAAACTGGAGTGCCACTTTTGTGTCACACTGTACTTTAGACAAACTTATAAATTCTCTGTTCACAGCAACAGTCCAGTGAAGAGTAAGGAAACATTACTCACCCATCTCCACATCTTCTGCCCCACCGTGATCTTGTCGGCATTTGGTTTTATCTGGAACTGCCCGCTCAATGAATCGCTTCAGTGCTTCACGGCTGAGAACATAACCAGCTCCCCCACTCATGTAACCCTGTTTCACGTAAGGCTTAAACCGGCAGCCGAAGTACATAGGGTCAGAGGTGTTATATGGTGATAGCATGTAGCGGAGGTTTTCAACTATTGCATATCTGAGGAACACAATATCACTGTGCGTTAGACAAAACAGAAAACAAGTTCATTTTGGTGAAGATTACTGTCTTCTGGTAGAAAATGGAGGCATGGAGACATTGTGTTCCTCCAAAATTATGGCAATTATCTACAAAACTACATTGGGTCACATGCCAGAAGATAACAATCTACACAGTCACTGACATAAGAGAGTCAAATCTTATAAAGATATTTCAGTCTAGACCAAAGTGGAGATGGAGGCACAACAATCTTCTGCAAGGTAAGAAATTACTTCCGAAACAATATGGTGCTTGAATCTGAAAGACTCAACAATTATTACCTTTAAGGAAGTTCATCACACTAAAGTCATGTGCACAGGCTCAGTTTGGCTAGCCTAGTGCCACACCTGTCAATACATACACCATTACCCCTAAGTCAAAATGTGACTCTCAGTGCAGCAGCAGTAGCAGATCTAACTCCCTTAATTCCATGTAAGTAACCAGTACCACCACAAAATCCTCTAAATATATAAATACACTTGGGGGCTTGTTCAGTGAAACCCATTTGGGGACTGTTCTAGTCGACAAGACTGGAGGCCATTAAAATTAATCCCCATGGTCATGGAGATGGCATCTTATGGTGCATCAGCCAGTGTGTCCCCTCCACAACAGAAACTCTGATCTGATGCTGCACCAACACACCTGTGCAGCCTTAATGACTCTGCTGATTCAAATAAATACTTTACTGTTTTCTTCAGGGGGCCAAACATGGCCGAACACACACGTGGGTTCCATTGAAACCAACTTCACAGACATAAACAACGCACCTTACCAATAACGTAAATATGTGATGAAGTTCAAGTACTACTGCAAATCAATTTCTTTTTTCACCATCGCAGTACTTTCTTATATATGCTATGTACATGAGAAAGTAAAAATGATGATAACTATGTAAATGCCTGGTGATAGGAACTTCTTTACTGCCATCCGAGACATCCAAATTTGTCAGGCCAAGACAAGAATCACCAAACATGATACCCTGAGACAACAACATGCCATCCAACCAAACAGTACTGTCGTGTACAAATAATTTCATACGCCTGTTATTATATCCTACTGTTCACTTACGTGTCATCGTCTGCCTTGTAGAACCAATCTGCTTCATGTAAATGGTGCTTGTACACATACAGGAAAGCTTCTTTGGTTTTGCTCCACAGGTAATCTCTGCCCTCCAGCACAGGCAGCTTCACAGATGGTAGTGATGTGTCTGTACAACACGTTTCTACTTCTTAGAGAGGCCACTATCCAATGCAACCTACATTTGAACTCTCGTTAAGAAGGTAGAGGTAAGGAAAAAGGGTAAAAGGGTAAAGTTGTCCCTGTGCTCAACTAATTAAGCACTATGCCATGAAGGCATATAGGGGAGTAGGTGTATAGATCCACATTTTCTTCACCTCAGCACTAATTTGAGGTGAGTGGTCAACTTCATGGCCTGGCCGCTTTACCCCTGGTACCTACTGGATAGGAGGCTGGGTGGGCCCCACAGCCATTCTGGATGATTAGGAGAAGAGAAATTTGTTATCCTACTAGAACTAAAACTCCGACCCTTCAGCCATCCAGCCCATAGCCAGTCGCTATACTGACTGAGCTATCCTGGCTCCCAAGGAAAAGGGGTAAGGCTGAGTACACTTTATCTCAAACATCTGCTAGGGTATGCCTTAACTTGACTATGCACTCTTATGCAAGAAGACTCCTGTCTTCAATGATACCTCCTGTATCGTGATTTTGGTTTCCACTGCACATTGCAAATGACGTGCAGAAACTTTCTAATGACAACGTAACGCTCTATGTCACTGCCTAAGAATGACAAATTCTCAAAGATGTTTTAGGCAGACTAAAGGACAAAACCTTCCAAGTGTTACCTACTTCTAGTGAAAGACACCCATTTCCAAAACATAGACGTTATGTAATACTACAGAAGTGTTTAACAGACTAAGGTCCCTTCATGCATGAACATACAGCTCACACCAGACTACTGAAGTAACATATCTGCCACCTTTGGCGGACTGCCTTTCTCACATTAAGACACAACTGCTTATGTCTAACACATTACGCAACAAATATCTGTCTCTCACATCACATCAATTTAAAAAAAGACTGTCATTCTCCTACAGAACATTCTGGGAAGCAAGTCTACTGGTTGATTCTGATGCATATTGGTGGGTACAGTAGACCACAACAGACAGCAGCACTATTTCTTACCCAAACCACAGTGGCTATCAATGGAAGTACTGTAAATAGTAAAAGAGACATGGGACACTGGATTTGAGATTCTCACAGCAGTGATTACAAGGAGCAGTTTCATGTGGAATACAACGGCTGTGTAGAGTGCTCAAAGTCAACTGAAATCTCAGAGGAACATACTATGATGGATTTGCTCAAAGTGTTTCTAGGCAATGGCTCAGTAAACGCATTCCAAAGCGCAACAATGGAAGATGTGTCTCAGCGGACGAATGTTATAGCTCATTCCCAGTCAACAATCAGTGCACCAATGAACTCACTGGCTAGGAATCTTAGTGCGTGTGCAACGCTGAACTGTAAATTGTGTAAATCAGCAGTAGCACTGTAATAAGTTGTAACTGACATGCCAATAAATCATATCATCCAAACTAGAACCCATTATTTTAGTCACGTGTACCCCCACACACATAAGATTTTGGTATCAGAAGTTCATGGTTTGGATCACAGTGGATTCATCAGCAGTGATTATGATTATAAATATGTGACAATTTCGTGTCAGTAGTCACGCAGCCATGAACTTGTGACAACTGAAAACTGCAAAAGAAGTTATATTGCATTGGACTGAGGACTGAATTGGGTAGTCATACCACGAAAACTGAATAAATGAGGCAACAAATAAGAGAAATGCTGGCCGCTCCACCCACTATACAGAGGTGGAGCCACTGTGGCCTGCGGGGTGAAAGGGAAGAGGACCTAAAAGCCTGGCAAGACAAGTTTGATGCCGATAATGCAAAGATATAAATTCTTTTCGGGTAAACTATGAGAACCACTGCATCAAGTCTTTACGTGACTGTGAAAGGGGCAGGGCATATTGCCCCTTTTCTGTATATCCCACACAAACCTAAAAATGGGAGGGTAAGCTGTTGGTGAGAAACCTGCACATGGAAAAGCTAACTGTGGCTACACATGTGATGGACTTACCGTTCTCCGAACTCATGAACAGCAGAATGTTGCACCGGGGTCCCCAAGTAGCCTTGACATGTACAGCCTTCTTCGCGTGGTTTTTAGGATTTGTCATTATCCAGCAGAGAACCCGCACCTTCTTCGCCAGTTTCTTAGCCTCGACATCCTCTCCTAGACGAACATGAAAATACCTTGATGAAGGCAGCAAATTCCTTCAAACAGTAAATCCCATCTACCAAATAGGCCCATGTGCAGCCAAAACATGTTGTAAAGTGAGAAAAAACACATACAAAACTAGAGACGTTTTAATAATTTGATGATCACTTTTAGTGTATAAGTTATACTTTTAGTGTCTTAATGATATCTTATGATTTTAACAACATCATAAAGTATTAAAGTGGTACTTTTAGTGAGAAATGTATTTTAGATGTCATTTATATTTAAAGAAAAATATTGTTGCATTATTGACAGATGCTTTAAAAATATGGATAATGCCTTAATGCAATGGGATGCTGAAATATAATAAAAATACAATATTATACACTTAAATATTGGGAACACGGCGTAGAGTAGTGGTTAAGGCACTATGCTACAAGTGGGAAGGTCGCAGGTTCAAATACCGATGAGGTCATTGGATTTTTTCAGTTGATCTAATCCTTCCGGCCGCACTATGGCCCTGGGGTTCACTCAGCCTCTAACAGAAATTAAACAAATAATTTTCCTGGGGAAGTAAAGCGCGGCCGGCGCGTAAGGCTGACAACCTTACCGCCATCTTTGAGCTGATTGTCTAGATAATGTGGGAGCCTCAACGTCTCACAACCCTATGGGCCTTCACGGCCTGGTATATGGATAGCTTTACTTTTTTTTTTTACACCTAAAATATCTTTGAGGCTGCAGCAGCATCAGGCAATGACGTAGACTGTAACATCACTGTTCGAAAGTTAGTAGATTCTATTTCCAACATATGATGCGAACCCAGATCACCATAAGGAAATCTCACTGAACACACTGCGGACTTTTCTTTTGTAAGGCTTGACCTCAAAGACGTTTTAGGCAAAGTATGCATGAGATCACATCACAGAAGACTGTATAACTCTCTCATCATTTTGCAAATTTCTCTTAAAGCAGCAGTGGCATAAAAATAATCTGTTGTTGCACATTTCTTTTTTTCTGGAGAAATTCCTCCCCATGACATTCTCAAATCCTCACATGCTCCTACTGACCTCTATGATAAAACTCATCATGACCATGGCTTCCCATCTCCCTGATGTCTGGTCCTTGGATGTATTCCCTGTCACTGTGGTGATGTCGGTCCAGAAAGCTGTTTTCTGTCCTGCAACCAATAGGCCTGCATTAACACAGTCACACCCAGATGTACCAGGCTTACGCAGTCGCTGCGCCCCAACCATTTTGCAAAAATTATGACTGAGTCTTACACATGCTACTTTAGAACCGAAGGTCTTCTGGAATGACAGATTTCAGAGGAAATTACTGCCTCCATCTTCAGGGTGTAAGAGTAAGCCAAGCAAGAAGCAAGCACAGTTCTCTGTTGCTTCGCTTGCCTTACTCTTTCATCCTGAAGATGGAGGTGCTACATTCCTCTCAAACACTGGTACACTTCTACCAAGCTATGCCATTTAACATCCCAGATAATCTGGCATTCTGTACTGGTGGTGGAGTGGGGGAAGAAACATCTCCATGGTACAAGGAACATGGTTTAACTAATTGTGACCAGTCTGTGCTGTGTCAGAACGAAACGTTACAGTCCCTGGCACTGCCACACCACACACCTTACCTATGAGCTAGGGGAACTCAGAAAGCAACAAGGCACAGGCAGTATGACCTGAGTACAATTCCTGGCAAGGGCAGGAATTTTTATCTTTGGCTCCATAACCAGACCAGTTCTGGGACCCACCAAGCTCACAGTCAAGGAGTACCAGGATTTGTTTCCACTGCAGCTTGAAAGCAACTACTTGGCTCAGTCTAGTGATGAGTTTAATAATGCAAGAAGCTTCAGCTCTGCACTCTCCATACACAGTGATGGCTTCATGATGAGGAGCAGAAAGTATTCAAGACTGACAAGCAGGTGATTTCTCAAAAACTGACAACTTTAAAATAAGATTCATTTTGAGATTTTAACTGTTGTGTTCTCTGTTGCACTTTCCACCATGGGACGAACACTTTAAGCCATGAGAACACAATACAAAGTTTGAGGTTACTTCCAGAGCTGGATATGTCCTATGACTCCTTTCTGGCTCTCCCATAAAATTATGTTACAGAGTTAGCAAGTTTTGGAAACCAGACTAATGCTTGTGCCACGTGTTAACTTAACCCAGCCAAGATTCAAACCAGAGCTCCATGGAGACAGGTCTATAGCAACACTGTCTTCCTTATTTATTTATCCTATTAAGAATACAATTAGTAGCTGAGACTATATAGCATCAAATGGTATAATGACTAGAATACACGTTACTGAGGCCTAATTTGTGTTACTATCTTGGCATTTCACTGGATGGTCTGAGGAAAACCATGAGAAATCAACCAGGACAGCAAGTCACCAAACCGAGATTTGAACCCAGGAGTCCTATGTGAAGAGTTCTATCTTCTGGTTTATAACACCATGTAGTCCGTTGGAAGTCAACTGACATTTCGAGGGAACATGTTACCTCCATCTTCAGGGTCAAATAATAAGGCAAGCAAGAAACCAACATGAAGCAGGTTGCAAGCAGATGATGATTTCTGGCTTGGCCTATTCTTTGACCCTGACGATGGAGGTGACATGTTCCTCTGAAATGTCAGCTGACTTTCAACAGACTACATCTCTTCTATAGCCACCACTCTCAAAACTTCATATCTTGCGGGTGTCTTTGACGGTCTGACCATGATGTTCAGTCCAGTCTTCTCAGCGACCATGAGAGGGCCTGCGTTCTATTTGTGGCAGTAAGCATGATTCTCACCAGTGGAACTCTCAAGTCATTCACCTGCATAACTGAGATCATAGCATCTGAAATTTTTCATCAGCATTACCACCATACCTGGCTGGGAAAAATGAGAATTCCTCCAAGGAACGAGTTGTTGCCATCAGGATGTATGCAAAGCTGAAGCCAAATAAGATTCCAATTGCCAGGGTCAAGATGAATGTTTTCCCCACTGCTGGCTTGAACAGGCCTGAAATATAAAGACACAGTTACTACACATACTGCGTAATTTAACATTCAAAAGCTCTGCACTCTGACACAGTAAATTTACGAGGACCATAAGATTTTCACAAACAACCAGCATAACCCAGTGTTTTCTGTGAGGTAGGAACTGAATTTTTAAATACAGTTTTGGTGAATTCATGCATCACATGGTTAACAAACTTGAAAGTACTGAATGTTCAATGGTAGCCTCAAATCTTATTGTTCCAGGTCCAACATAACGAACATACTAATACCATTATGGCCCACAAAACATGCTCTCAGCTGTCTCAGTATGTACTCTTCAGGCAAGAGTGAGTGGTGTCGAGACCAAGCACAGACCACTGGCACAACAAAAGGCAGAGTCACACCATCAGTCATCACTAACCATGTTATTTGCTGTTGGTCCTTCCTTACATCGTCACACAGGACACCAATGACACCACCCTCTCTTCCAACAGATGCTATACACTGGTACAGTCAAGAGCATATTCTGTAGGTAGGCATTCATTGCAACAATCCCTGATGATGACAGTTCAGAGGGTCTCCAAAGCACCGAATACTAACACCATATCAATGTGGATGATCACTTAAGATGATTTCACCGCAGCTTCAAATCATATGAAGCTCTATTATATTCAAACACTGCAGAGAAATCAAATGTTACAATGGTAGGGCCACGTAGAAAGGAAGAAGATAAAAAGTTGGAACTAACTAAACCTCTAGAATCTAGATAATGGGAAGCCAGCCCAATCACTAGCCATATCACACACCATTACATAAACCATTCCCTGTTGTTGCGCAGCCTGAACGTGCAATGTGTAACGCAAAGTAACAAACATGAAACTGAATGATGATGATGATGATGATGATGCCGGCTCCCCCACCACCACTGCACGCTCGTCTGGGTACGGAAAAAATAATTACTGACTTGATAACACACCATTGAACACAATGCTGCCAATACCTGTCATACTGACTGCTCACTGGCTCCTGTCACAATGTATACATCCTCTCATCAATGGGGAAAAGGAGAAGAGTTCACTGTCTTTCATATGCTGACTGCAATGTAGTACTGTGTGCCCCCTCTAGTTATGTGTAAATGTGCCTATATCATCCACCTAGGTCTGTCATTTGGAGAAAAGCAGCTAGATTAGATTAGGAAATATCAGTCAAAGCTTTATCAGCTCTCTGACTTTGTAGATTTGACCAGCACAGAGGCAGGAAGCATGTGTTACTTCAACATGTCTTCTAGCTTGCTCTTAGCCAGTTTCACTAAGAACAGATACACCAAACTAACTCTTTTAAAGCGCGCCCACATTACTCGTGCTCGCGTGACTCGCTATGCTCACAAGTAATGTGGACGATATGACAAGTCACGAGACAAGCAAATTTTTAATTTTTAATTTAAAAACTATAGCCAATAAATTAAAATACGACTACAGCCTATACACACTACAAATAAATATACGGATCCTCACGCGCTGAAGCCTGGCGAGCAACTGAAGTAGTGTGGACGAAGATTTATGAGCACAAGTAAAAGCCAGACAAGTCTCCCGACAAGCACAAGCCTGGTGAGCACGAGCATGAGTAATGTGGACGCGCCTTTAAAGCATACTGGTAATTATACTGTCACCTGCTTCACATACAAGAACTCTGTCAGCCCTCCCCCCACACACACACAGACACACACATACACAGAGTGTATTTGTACGTTTCAGGTGATTCTCGCAATAGGCAGTGATTATTTCCCTCTATAGCAGTGTGTTTTTTTGTAATGTATGATCTGAATTATTAAACATTAAAGTCCACTTTCTCAGCTTTATATGTTACATAACATTAAGTGGTATGATGAATGTGAATGACAAACTGAAAAAGATGTGAAATGTCTGTGAACCTGCTGATGGTGGTAACTCAGCATTTTCCTAGACAGACTGAAAAATATGAGAAGAGACCTCACTCAGGATAATTATCGTTTACGTTGAAACTCCCAGATTGTGCAGTCCTAACTAACCACTCAGTCATGGCATGCAGTAGTTCAGATGAAACAAGTTTATTTTGTCAAAAAAGAAAATATAACCTGTGTTCTAGCAGCTGACACAAATGACATCTGAGGCTTCCACAGTGGCCGAGGTCCAAACATTACATAATTGCATTCTGTCTAACCTTAAAGTTTATTCTGTGCTTAAATAAGAACCTCATTATGAAGACTTATAGGAGGGTGATGGCAAAGATACATGCATTCTTAACCTTGCTACTAGATGGAAGTGAGTGGTCAGCTTCATGTCCCAGCCACTTTACCTCTGGTAAAAGAGCCCTTGGTACCCACCAAATAGGACGCTGGGTGGGCTCCAGAGTTGGTCTGGACATCGTGGTGAAGAGAAAACTCTTTTGCCCACTGCCATTCTAAATGCAGTGTAACTAACGCATGTAGAGTAAGGCTCCTCTGCTCTGTGGGCTTCAGGATCAGTTGTGGGCAGAGTGTGGGAAAAAATGTCAAAAAATTGACATATTTTGGTCAGCATAAAAAAGCCTGATCAAAATTTTCTGTGGCCCAGCTGTAAGTCTCACCCCTGCTTGATGCATAGAGATCATTCCTTCCTGTTGTACTGTCTGTCCTAAACACACACAAGCCAAGCATAAGAAAATGGGGAAGAAATTGAATTTAAGAGAGAGATTGCTTATGACTTTATAATTAAACTGGTCTTTGCTTATTTTGCTGTGATTCACAATTTCCTCTGTAACACCAATATTCATAATGGGCCTGCCAAAACTCCAAAAGCCAACCCCAAATGCTGAGTGGGAAAGTGGTTGCCTTCCAAAACGTTTCAGTTGCTACTGGCATATTCTTCTCCAACTCCTGGTTGGAAATGAGCTGTCAGATTTTAATCTCATGTTTCTCTGCTCCAGTAACCATTAAACAGAAGGCTGGATGGGGGCTAGGCCCTGTTGACTGTCACTTAACAGTATTACCACAGTTCACAAAAGCCTAAACTTGGGGAAATCAACCCACTTCTTGTCAGGCCCAACTTCTTGGTTATAGAGAGTAACCGTTTATGTATATGCCCCATTTGTGTTATCAGTACTAACTTCATCCTTATCACTCAACTGCTCACATAGCAGTAGTCCTATTTTAGAACTGAGTTTTGTACATTTATGTCCATTTGCCCTTCACAGAATAAGTTGAGAACCACTGCAACATCGATACAAAAAAAGATCCTGCCATGTAACCCACCACAAAACTTGAAACTTCCTCTCAGCCACAATAATTACACTGGGTTTTTGGTTAAATACCTCTGAAAGCAAAAACTGTCTGTTTTGTGTATATGGATCTCACAGCACAATCTTCTGGTGTGTGAAGTCAAGTCAAGTTGGCAGGTTGCCACACGCTTCTTGCCTGCTGCTTACCATTTACTATTTACATAATCCAGAATTTAAGTGAACCATATTCTGTTCACACATTATGTTCTGTGCTACAACTAAATTTCATAAAAACCTTCTCGTAAGTTTTGGAGGTGGAATAAAGCCAGATGGTTGTGACCTCACCTTTATGCATTCACTTCATGCATTTCAATCTAATAATGCATAGAAATGATGCCATGTTATATTTATGGCTTTCAGTTCTGGTGTAGGGTTGTACGAGTATTTCTTAAATCTGAAATGGGTCTACCAAGAAACACTACTGAACTACAGCACATTGAGTAAACCGAATGATGAATCAGGGATTGATTCCTGGTAGAGGGGAGAGATTTTTCTCATCTCCACAGTGTCAAGACCGCCTCTGGAGCCCATCCAGCTACCTACCCAATTGGTATGGGCGCTCCTTCCCCAGGGCTAAAGTGGCTGGGGCTTAAAACTGACCACTCACCTCTGTCTAGTGCCAAGGTTAGGAATGCATGGAGCTACACGTCCATTCCCCATGTTTTCAAAGTGCTGTGCTTAATTAATTAAGCACATTTCACTTTTAGACTGTGTCAGCCTATCATTATTATTGATGAGCAATAGGTGGGCAACAGTGTCTCCAGCACAGGAAAACATAACATATTTCACCCGTTATATTATTTCTTATTTAATGTGGTAAAAATCGGATTCACATTGTGGTCTTCTGGGTTGTGACACTGTGCAGTCTTGTAGTGGGATGCCAAATATTTCAAGGAACCTACTGCTTACATCTACAGGGCAGAAGTGGATGTTTTCAAAGTTCCATCACCATACTACTTCACAGTGTTCACAATGGCATGTAGATCTGACACTGAAAGTTAATATCAGCTGAAACGAGTTTCATGAAATGGACACCAGGTTATATTCTTTTGAGCCCTTAAAATAAATGAAAGAAAATATGTAAGAATCACAGACTGTCAAAGAAAAATTACGGCTTTAATACCACAAAATAAATTGGAAAGACCAAGTCAGAGATAAATGAGTTAGAGAGGAACTAAATTTATTTCATTTCAATAATAAAGTTAACAATAATACAAATAACTGGACATGCCGTATGCAAAGAATGGAACCTCCTTGTATACCTAGACAAAATAACAGAGCCATGGTTTGACAAAGGATGCTCAGAACTATAAAACCAAAGGACACAAGCCAAGCTACAATGGTTACAAGATCCAAGTCAAATAAATGGGGATAATCTGAACAATATAAGAAGTGAAGCTAGTACACATTTCAGGAGCAAAAAGAGGGAATATCTGAAAGACAAAATCCATGAGCTTGCGACACACAGTAAGAACAAAAACATCAGAGTCTTATATACAGGCATAAACAAATTTAAGAAGGGTTACCAACCTAGAACTAAGGTGGTAAAGGATGAGAATGGTTATCTGCTTGCAGATTTCCACAATATTTGAATAGGTGAAAGAACTGCTTTCAGTTATTGAATGTACATAGTGTCAGTGATGTTACACAGAGCTGCTAGTATCTGATCCTAGTCCTTTTGAAGTTGAAACAGCTACTGCAAAGCTGAAGGAGTACAAATCGCCAGGT